ATATATATATATATATATATATATATATATATATATATATATATATATATATATATATATATATATATATATATATATATATATATGTTCCTGTGATGTTGCTGAGAAATATAGACCAGTCATCAGGATTGTGTAATAGCACGAGGTTGATCATCACAAGACTTGAAAATCGAGTTATCAAAGCCAAGGTTTTATCGGGTAATATGGCTGGACAAAAAGTGTTTATCCCGAGAATGACGTTGACGCCATCAGATGCAAGAATGCCTTTTAAGTTCCAGCGAAGACAATTTCCAATTATTGTATCTTTTGCCATGACAATTAATAAAAGTCAAGGCCAGTCATTGTCTCATGTGGGATTATTTTTGAAGAAGCCAGTATTTACTCATGGACAACTGTATGTTGCTCTTTCATGCGTGAGGAGTAGAAAAGGGTTGAAGATTTTAGTTTATGATGATGATGGACAAATAACGAATGAAGCTAGAAATGTGGTGTATAAAGAAGTTTTCCGTAATTTGGTTTGAGATGAATCTAGACATGATGGAATTATCAGGTATTTACAAGAGATCAAGCAGTTGAAAAAAAGGTACAACTTTTGACTTATAGGTGTCATGGTACCAATTAGAGCTATATGGACAGACTATTAGATAAGAACATATTAGATATACTTCCTAATACAGTTATCAATAGATTATTTAACAATCCCTGCAGTAGGAATTGCCTAAGATTTCGTCTTTTGGTGATAATCCTGATATGTTGAGCATGCAGTGTCATACACTAATAATTCACCCCGCTTCTGTAAAATTCAAAAGATATCATATCAACTCGCACATCTCACCTTCTCCATGCTTGAAATAGAGAAATCACAACTTATTCTATCCAAATAAGCAATAGGGGGTCCCAAAACTAATAGAGGCTTACGAGTGAGAAATTGCTTACAGTTCGGATCAAAAGCAGATAATGAAGAGACCTTTAGGACAATACCTGCTCCTCTTCTTTCAGCATGTGCTGAGAAATTATTGTATTAATGGTACCTATGCTACATGTAAGTTCATTAAATTGCATAGAAACCTCCTCTTTCTCCTTTTGTAAGCGATCCAAGCAATCGAAGATGGAACTTAACAGATCATCTATACTATTGTGCTCAAGTGAATATGTGAAAACCACATTCTTCACTTGTGCATCCAGTTCTTGAAAAAGGACCTGCCAATGTTAATAATCAAAATTTGGAAAAGTAGATGAAACTTGAAGGAGGAAATTGAAGTAGTAAGTAGATGAAAAACAGAAAAAGACAGTGATATTGGTGATCAACAAAAATGAATACATCTCTTTTTTGTTCAACTGTGCTTAAGTTCTACCATTTCATTCCTATTCACTCGTGGCTTCTCTTTGAATCTCCTTTTGAATTTTAAGCATCAGCAGTAGGTAATATCTTAACAAATGCCAGTGCTTTTATCAACATATTAGATATGCATAAGCATCAGCAGTAGGTCATGGCACCAATTACAGCTATATGGACAGACTTTGTGTGATTGAGCACAAATAGTACTGTTATGCACTCCCTTCCTCTTTTCTTTGTCCTTGGTTTGCTCTTACACATTTAGAACAAAACTTGTCTTCAGGCTGTTGTCAGCAGTTTGGGAGTGACTTATCCCTGATACAACAACTTGGTGCTGGCTGGACACGTAGTACAGTACAAGCTAAAATACAAGAAAGAAGAGCAGCAACATCCATTTAGGCTTCATGATGCTCTAACCAATCGTTCCAAAGGTAAATTTTCTCAACTCTCTCTACTGCACTTACATTTATTTATTTTTCCAAGACTCATTTATCATTTGATAGCATTTCATTTAAATGGGCATAAAATACAATTTGAAGATACATTGGGCAAATGAATATCATGTTTTCAGAGAAACCTTCCATTAAGAGTAAAGTTTCATCAGCATGGAAAATATGACTTGGGCGTGGCTGAAAGTATACATGCATAGTCTGTTGTTATGGCTGATCCAAAGTCCAGAAATGAATTGGAGCCTGACTTATCAAAAAAAAAAGGAAAAGAAAAAGGAATTGCAGCCTGGATTCATATTCCATAATTCTTTTCTTTTTTCCTCTTTTCATGTTTTTGTCTTGTGATCCTCTGATGCATCTGTATGTCTTGGGTGATATAAAATATTACCATTTCAGGAGAACTAGCTTTGGATATCTCTGTTATTCTTTCTTATACTGAAAATTACAGAAAAAAAGACGTTCTTTCGGTCTAAGTGATGGATTTTGTGGAAATAAATAAAAATTAGGGGATATTTTAGGATTTTTGATTCTTAACTTCATCTTGGTTACCCACATAAGTGATGTTGATTGCAAGACTGTATTTTTTCTCCTTTCTCCTGCGAATTTACTGTTTCAATTTGTTGTAAAACTTTATCTTTCTGCTTATGAGTTGCAATTTCAGTTTTCTGCAGGTAATGAGGTGGACTTGATGTTTAGGAAATAATAGAGAATTTTTTTGTATATTTCTTTAGGAAGAAGTTGCTCTGAAGGCCCAATCTTTAGGCAATTGATAGGTTCAATACTCTCAAATTGGACATTCAACCTTTTTGTGGTTTCTTTTAGTTTGGTAGAACTGTGGTTCATAAGACATAAGCCTCCCCATATTTTCTTTGCCGATTTTGTAGAAGTTGCTACACAATTGAGAAGTTTTCTTCTTTTTCATCTAAAGATGGTAATGAATGGTTCAAGAAGAATAACTTATAATTGGATATGTATAAATTTAATTTTTTGGCCCTATGCTTTAGAACAGGTTATGTTGATCTACCCGTTGATTAAAATAACCTCGATTTTATTTGTTCATTAGACCGAGAAAGATGAAGATGAATCATAAAGTCTTGATGATAGCCTATGCACCTACAATTGATGGCTATGCTGGGAATGCTCTAGCAGTTAAGCCCTTAAAGCTATTTTTGGAGATGAGTTGAAGAAGTAGAAGCACATGAGGTAGGACAATTATTCATAAAATATCTCTTATTTTTAATGCCAACAGTATTTGATTTCCTATGTATAAGGTTCTAGAACTGATTCATAATTGTGTTATCTGTTCTGATTTGGTGCTGCTTTTCTTTCATTGAAATGATCTACCGATTGCAGATTATTGATGGAAGACTGATTTTTGTGAAAGTTGCTGAGAATACACAAGCTAACAGAAAACAAAACATTCGGTGAATAACTTTCTTATAATTCAACATTTACTTCATGGGAGGTTTTTGGCTATTGCTCAATCCACCAGGGAAATGGTGATGTTTCATTATGTATATCTTGGTGTGGTGAAATATTTATTTAATTTGTTTAGCCTGCCCAAGATATTGAAGCTTCTAAGTTGAGGACAAAATACAAGCAAATTTATAAAAAACTACTCCATGAAATAACAAGCAGAGCAAAGGACACATCGATGAGTCCACTTATTAAGTATTCCTTTTGTTTATATAATTCAAATGAGCAAATAATTAAGAGAAATATTATCATGCTAATATTTTTTTTTATAACCCGCGCATCGCGCGGGTACGTATACTAGTATTCTAATACACGAGGGAGAAAAATAAATACAGGCGTATTTTATGGCTTAAGAGTAGGAAATGACCATAAATAGATATTTGGCTATAAAAATCAAAAGGTAGCTATGGAATATAATTTTTTAAAAGGGTATTTATTTAAAATAAATAAGGTATCAACCTTTGCTATAGGAGGTAAAAATTCCTAAAAAGATACTCACTCGTGTAAGTGTGTTTAATAAATAGTACCTATTTTTCCTTTTAAATGCATCTTCCAACTTATTTGAATAATTCTCATTATCGAAGTGCTAAAAGTTCCTTTTGTATGTGCTTAGATCTTAACTAATGCAGGAAGGCATTTTTCAATGGAATAGGAATGCTAAGACAGGAGCTACAAATCGAGTATAGTAGCTTATCACGCACATATCAAAAAAGCACACAATGGATGAGCAAATCTCATGGCTAAAGTTTTCCCCTACTAAAAGTAAGCAAGAGGCATACACTGTGCAAATAAAATCAGGGAGGGGAAAGAACAGAAAGAAATCTGTACTCATCCTGGAATAGTATGAACTTTCTAACATCATTCAAAACACATAGACATCCTATTGCCTACTTCTCAGGCCTTCATCTTAAGAGACTTGTTGCCTATTGCCTACTTCTCATGGCCTTCATCTTCAGAGGACTCCACACGATTTGCTTCTTTATAGCAAGAACTGTTGGATGCTTGGGCCTCCATGAACCTGCTTGTGAAGGAGGACTTCTCATGAATTTACTGCTTTGTTTTGAACCAGGGGTTGCCTCTCTGGGTGTGGCGAATGAGGTTTCCTTTTCTTGAGCAATTGGAGAAAGCACTCTTGAAGTCTGCCACATTCTTTGTGTATCCCAGACAAATGATTTCCGACCGAGACGCTTATTCCTTGGTCGAGCAGCAGAGCCATTGAAAGTTGATATGTTAGACTCGGGGCGAAGGGTTGCAATAGAAGCCCGCCTTTTGGGCTGCAAAACCTGCTTTGTTCCTTGAGGTGATGGTCTAACTACAGCAATAGATCCTCGCCTTGGTTTCAGAATTGCAGTTGTCGTTGATGTGCTTGCCAAATTTTCCTTGCCACGTGATGGCACAAATGACTTCCTAGCTTTTGCTGGACGAGGAAGAGGGGATGGCGGGGGCAAAAAATTGCTAGTTCGTAGTGGCAATCTCAGTGCTTTTGAAGGAGCCAGTGGTGGTTTCTTCTCTGTTATGATCTTCGGTGATTGGCTTAAAGCTGATATGGTAGCGAACTCTCTAGAAACTCCAGGGAAAGCGTTGCTTTCTTGTTTTAGACGTGTTCTCCTCTCGTCTGCCAATTGGTTTTCAAGATCACGAACCTGTTGGGAAATTGAAAAGCTCAGCTCTTTTAGAGTTTTTCCGGAAAAGATTAGACATTTACACTGTAAATGTGACACTACCAGATAGTTTTAAGAAACTCCATTGGAAGAAAGAAGCTAATATCTTTCCTACCTTGTCCTGAAGATTTCTACATGTCTGTTCTCTGTTAGCAAGTTTCAGCTGCAGAAACTGCAAATTGTCCTGCAATTTTTTGGTTTCCTTTTCATCTTGCTTGGCTTTTTCTGCCTGTTGATGAGCATCACAGTATTAGCTGAACAGCATTTTAGCGGAAACGTATGTTCATTGAAAGAGGTGTTTGTTTATAACTACCAGTAGTTTATGCTTCATGAGCTCTACAAGGTCTGTCTGTTTGCGAGCAGGGCCATGTTCAACTCCTCGGACTCGACTTGCAAAATTCAAAGAGCATAGAGTTTCTCCCAAATCTGTTGTACTAGGGCTGATTTGGACAAACATGACCGCCTTGCAATCTCCTCCTGCATTAGAGGATTAATTTGCAGTTTCATCAGGTTAATTTGGAATTTAAACTGATGGCTTAATATTTTTAAGGTTCACAAAATTCAGAATTATCTAATAAGTGATGATACAGATGCTTTAAAGAGTCTTACCCAGAGAACTCTGCAGCATATGAGTGAGCTTTGAATTCCTGTTGTGCAGAGGGGACCAATGTTATCTAAAGGAAAAATAGTAGTAAGTGGTTATCACATGCACAAATGAAAGGAGAAATACCTGTATGGAACGTGAGCTGTCTTAGAGGCTAGTGCAGAAATGACATCCCCAAGTGCAGACAATGACTTGTTTATGAACTGTGACTCCTTCAACCTCTCACCTTCAACTGCTATCCGTCCCACGCGCTCACTGCCAGCGAGGTCAACAAGCCAAAGGTGGCTCCTAGTCCTCTGGCCGTTAATCAAGTTGTCCCCCACAACAGTCACCCGCAGTAAGCTAAGGTAAAAGTGACAAAGAAAGTGTGATTCTTCATTGGTGAAACCAAATAGTGGATAGTAAAACTAAATTCTTTGAAATTTGCCTAAACTAAGGCATCGGAAGGAGAAATGTAAAGGAAGAGAGGAAAGAAGAATGTGAATCCAGAGTAAAAGCTGTTAATCATACCAGTGAGAACGGCTGCTAAGCTCGTTAGCACTAGTTGATCCAACAGATCCTAGCCCGGCTTCCCGGACTTTGACAAGTTTCCCATACTTCATCTGTACCATATACACGAGCTTCCACAAGTCCTGGAACTTCCTGAGTTCCCTCTGCCGATTGTTTAATCTCCAACCTGTTTAATGTTTAAATATAGTCATTTCTTCAAAATACATACACAGAGACACACGTAGATATTCTCTTTCTCTAATCGATTCTGGCTCACTAAACTTTAATCGCTGGTACTGCGAGCCAATTTACTAGTATTTTCTCCGAGCTGAGCCCTTATGATCATTTATCCAAAGCACTGTTTCCTAATTCCATCTTGCAGAGTAACTTTATTATGAAGACTGTTCTTGATTATATAAAAATGAAGCACTATTCCTAATTCCATCTTACAGAGTAACTTTAATGAATTATGAAGACTGTTTTTGATTATATAAAAATGCATAAAACATAACTAACCGAGTCGATATCGTGTTTTTGGGAGAAAGGCTTTTCTTTAAAAGATACTACTCGCCTGACTTTAGCTACTGTGAAAAAATATATACTAATGAGATCAATTATTGAAGTACTTATATTAATGAAACTTGTTACTATTAGTCAATTATTTTTAACACTTTCCAGAAACAGTTTTTACAGTTCAAAATATGCCCATTGAGATTTCCAAATCTAGCTGATACATTTACTTTGGTATCTTTTTACGCTGTGGTGAGAGAATATATGCCAACCCAGATGATGTTCTTATCTAGCCATAACCAAGCATTATGGTCTTAACTGTCAAAGCTTGAAAGCACAACCAAGCCAGTAAAATAAAGAGCTTAAGAACTTACTTCTTAGCTGGTTGGTTTGAGTTCTCTACCAGGAGGTCTCTTATCTTCTCATTATAAACCTCTAACATGCTGACGGACAACTCATATTTCATGATACTGCTTCTCTCACTAGATATGCTAAATAGCTTCTCTAAAGTCCGGTAGTTGACTCCTCTATTTTCTGGTGTCCCCTCCATGGTGAACGTCTTCCCCGTCCCAGTTTGTCCATAGGCAAATATGCAGACATTATATCCATCCAAAACAGAGGTCACAATGGGCATAGTTTGAGCAAAGACGGCATCTGCATTAGAAAATTACAGAGTTTAGAAGTCAAATTGCAACAAGCTATAGAAAAATTCTTTACAAAAGAATCTTGGATATGCACATCAAATAACAGATACCGACTTACCTTGGTTGTCCTCAGGTTTGAACACATAATCAAACTTAAACTGCTTTTTAGAGGAACCTGCACAGATCTGCAGTTCATTTTCATGAGATGGATCAAATTCGACCACAGATGTTGATCCATTTGCAATTTCATCTGAATTTAAAGGTCTACATCTACAGAAGACCCTGATATTTCCTTTGAGCTCGATCACTTCATTGTATAGACGTTTTCTTTCAGTACACTCCTCCAGATACTTCTTCTTCAGTAGTTCACACTCTTCATCATACTTCTTTTTTAGAAGTTCATGTTGGACACCTGATATTGCCAAAGAGACCACAAATAGATCAGAATTGATAGAGCACAACTGCATAAAAGACCAGTTATGAGATGTTCTTCATACTCATGTGCTGAAGAGTGTTAGAGGCTTCAGAACCAGGAAAAGAGTCCACACTCATGCTCTTGACTTCATTACGTAATGCTGCCTGTTCTTTCCTCAAGTCCTAAAAACAAGTAATAGATATGAATAATATTAATAATCACTATATATCCATTAAAACGTACATTTTAGAAGGAGATAGTTAACATCTTACGAGCACTTTGTTTCTAAGATCTTCAATCTTTGTAAGAATTGGAAGAGTATGCTCTTGAGATGAACATACTTCTGCAGTAGAATGTGAACCATTACTCTCATCCGCTGACTCAGAAATTCTGTCGACTTTAACTGAACCAATTCAAGAGACAAAAATTCAACAAATGTAAGAGGCAAAGCCTATCAATTGAGAATGTCTACACTACAGACCAGCAGCTCACTTTATAGCTTTAGGTGGAATCAGGGACTCATCTCTTGAAATCGTCATTGTGAAAGATAGTTAAATTCAGAAGCAAAGTCTACTACATTTGCAACTCACAATCCAGGACGGTAAATCAGGCATGACAAAATTCTGCCTGAATTCAGCCATCCTAACTTTTTCCACATTCATTAAATAACAAGGAGGCAACTAATTAGCTATTTCTTCACAGTTCCTAACTGTTTCTTGAGTAGCAAAAACAAAGAACAATGCTGCAGACTCTACACAACAGCTATTTTTTATTTTTATTTTTTGTTATTCCCATCACACATAAAAAAGTAAAGAATCAAACTATTGACATAGTCATGTATAAAACAGTTACAGAACATGGACATAAATCTGAAGCTACATTTTTAAAAAATACAAGTTTAGCAAATTCATAAAAATAGGTTTAAACATAATACACAAAGCATTCCATTCTTGAATAAAATTCACAAGAGAAATTATTACATAAAAAATAAATTAGAAAAAATCCACAAAAGAATCAAAAGGAGGTAAAAAGAGAAAACGAACCCCCATTTGGAATGGGTGAATCCTTCAAATTGTCCCCAGAAATGGTGACTGCTTGATCAAAATTGTCGCATAGCTTTTCTAGGGTTCGAACTGGAAAAAAAAACACAGAATTTTGAAATTTTATAAACATATAGATCTCACTAAGGAATTTGTACAAGAGAGAGAGAGAGAGAGAGAGAGAGAGAGAGAGAGAGAGAGAGAGAGAGAGAGAGAGAGAGAGAGAAAGTACCGTCCATTGTGAGTATATCAGCAACTGTGAAATCTGTGAAGATGAAGAAGTAGTATGAGGAGAAGAAGATTTGCAGAAATGGAGTGATGAATTCGGGAGAGAGAAATGGGAGAATGTGGTGAGAGAGATTTGGGATTTTGATTCTTCAACGGTCTGAAATAGGGTTTGAATTTTTTATGGTAGGATTCTCAAGTTTTTTGAATTATTGGTTCAATCTGGGGCGTCTGATTTTTGGGGAGCTTCCTTTAATGGCTTCAACCCCTCAGAGAGCGTCCGGATGACGGGTCAAACCGGACTCAATCCGGATCTATCCGTTATTTCGAATTTACTCCTCTAAAATTACTTTTTTGATAATAAAAGGGATATATATATTATATTAATTAGAAGTCATTTAGTTTGTTACAAGTAGGTGAAAATTTTCCACTCATCACTAGCAATATTCTGATTACCTAATGTCCTTAGAATATTACAAGCCGAAATAGATAAAGTTTTTTTCAAAAAGACATTCTCCGTCTTGCTCCTTAGCCATCTGTTGGTTCACAAAAAGTGGTGGAGTTGCATGGAGTTTTGGCATGTCCGGACTGAGTTGCGTAAAACTTTTACTGGTGTCGTCCTTAGCAAGTAGATGCGCCACTTGGTTGCCTTGACGGAAATTATATCGAAGCAGGGGGTCCTTCAGCTGGGCATTAATGATCTGCATGCATAAATAATGTTAGAAAGACTATGTGACCATAATATTGCATTGATGGCCTCTGTTGAATCAATTTCAAGCTCAAGGGGCATAAGGTTTAATTTTACAGCAACTTGAAGCCCCTCATATAGCCTGCAATTTAGCGAAAGAGAGAGATCGAAACAGTTTATTTTTGAAAACCCACGATCCAGCTCCCGGTGTGATCTCTGACCACTCCTCCTGTTCCAGCTTTTTTGTTATCTTGTAAGCTCCATTAGTTTATAGCTTATACCAGTTTTGGTGTGGAGCATGACATTTTATGTTGATAGAAATGTTGTGATAGATTGATGTATTAGGGGAGTTTAGGAGAAAGAATTCTTGTGCTTGTCTCCTTATGTTATTTAGTAAGGGTGGTAGATTTGTATTATTAAAGTTGTTTCTGTTTCTTGTAATCCATATGCCCCATAAAATGATTACCCAATGATTAGAGCCAGTAATTTTGTTGGTGTAGATGTTGAGAGGGTTCCAAATACCTCTAACATTAGGGCAGTGTAAGAAAATGTGGGTAATGCTTTCCACATCCTTACGGCAAATAATGCATAGGGGGTCAATATTTAGACCTTTGTGGTAGAGCTATTGGCGACAAGGGATTTTATTGTAGAGATATTGCCACAGAAAGAATTTAATTTTGTTGGAGCAATGCAACTTCCAAATCCTGCTGAAGTCAAGTTGGACCGGAGGGTAGTTATTAATCAGTTGGTAGCAACTTTTGATGGTGAAATCCTAATTGTTGTTTAAGCTCCAAATAGGGTTGTCGTTATTACCTTGTTTAAGGGGTTTTGGGATGGAGTTTATATTATTAATAATGGAGGTGGGTATTCAAAAGAAATTTAAGTTCCAATTACCTTTGTGATGGATATCCTTGATCTTAATATTGAATTCTTCATATTGAAGGGGGCCTTCAATAATATTTCTCAATTTGGGAGAGTTGGGGATCCAGTTGGTATCCCATATGTTGATGTTTGAGTTCTTGCTAGGGAGCCAGAGAATCCCTTTAGAGCATGTGTCCCTCCTTTAAGGATACTTTTCCAAATAAAAGATGGGTTTTTGATAATATTTTTTTTATAAGAATATTAGCCCATGGGGCCATAGGGTTGGTTAGGATCCGCCAAGTTAGTCCACTTAGAAGAGCCAGGTTCTTAGAACTAGCTTTATTAATGCCAAGCCCTCCTAATTGTTTAGGCTTTGTAATGGTATCCCAATTAATGAGATGCAATTTTTTCGTAGTAGTTCCCTAGATGAAATTCCTCTGGATTTGATCTATTTGTTTTTGGATTTTGGTTTGGAGGATTGTGTATTGCATTGCATGATTGGGGATTGAGTTTAGTGTGACTGTGGCTAGTGTGGCTCTAACGGCTATATTTAAGAACTTTGTTTTCCAAGTTGACAACCTATCACGCATTTTATCAATGATGAATTGGTAGTCAGAGGCTTTTGGATTTCTATTAATAGGGAAACCTAGATATTTTTCAAAAGAGTGGTTAATCTTGATGTTGAAGCCATTAGCAATGTAGCTGGTTGTTTCAAGGGTGCAATTTTGGGAGAATATGATTTTTGACTTTTGAAGATTGATGGCTTGACCTGATAGATTACAAAACAGTTTTAGACATTTGTCAATTGTTTTGTAATTTTTTAAATTTGCCCTTGCCATCAGGGTTAGATCATCAACAAAGAATAAATGGGATATGCCTAAGTCTTTGTTGCTCAGATGTATGGGATCCCATAAACAGGTACTCCACTTGATGGAGAATGAGTCGTAATAGCATTTCCATGCAGAGGATGAATATATAAGGTGAGAGGGGGCATCCTTGCCTAATACCTCTACTTGGAGTGAAGAATTTTGTTGTTGCTCCGTTAACTAGGATAGCAATTTGGCTAGTGCATATGCAGCTCATAATTAATCGAGTTTTTTCTAAGGAAATTTAAATAATTGAAGGGTACGGTTGATAAACGACCATTCGAGCCTATCAAAAGCTTTTTCAAGGTCCAATTTGAGGATCATATTTGCTTTGTTGCCTTTCATTTTTTTGAATTGGTTGCAAATTTCCTAAATAATCATAGCATTATCACAAGCTCTTCTTCCTTTAATAAAGCTAGCTTGAAAGGGGCTAATGATTTTGTCAATGAAAGGTTGTATCCTATTTGCTATGGATTTGGTAATAATCTTGTAAATAGTGTTACAAAGGCTAATTGGCCGAAAGTTTTTTAAATTGTTGGCATTAGAAATTTTTGGGATTAGGCATATGTAAGTGTTGTTAATTTCTGCGGGAATTATTTGGTTATGAAACACTTTTAAGCAAAGATTAATTACTGAATGCCCTACTATATCCCAATATTTCTGATAGAAAAACGGGTGTATGCCATCGGGCCCTGGAGCTTTAAAAGGTTTGAAAGAGAAGATGGCATTGACTACCTCTGATGGTAGTAAGTTTTTGTCTAGAGTTGCAAGGTCTATATTATTGAAAATTTTAGGATCATTTTTAATGCTAGACCAATTTGTTTCAGTATGGTTAGTATTGAACATATTTTGGAAGTATTGCAAAGTATGTCGAAGGATTGCCATTGGATCATCTATCCAATTACCTCTGTCATCTTTGAAGTAAGTAATTTTTTTTTCTACGATTTTTGTTAGACGCCATAATGTGATTTTTTTTTTTGTATTGGCATCTCCCTCCTGAATCCAAGAAATCCTTGCCCTAAGTTTTCAATAGTCATCCTCTATTCTTAGGATATTGTTATAATCCTGTTGGACACTATGTTCTAGTTCTTGGAGAAAAAGACTAGTGGAGTATTTTTTTTGAATTTTGGATCCCATAAAGTCTTGCTAGAATTTTCTTTTTCTTTCTAAAAATTTCGCCAAACGGCCTATCTTTCCATTCTTTAACATTATTAATGAAATTTCTGGAACCTTGTGAGTAGTTAGAATTCTTCCAACTATTTTTGACGAGATTTATGAAATCGAGATGCCTACACCAGAAAGTTTCTAGCCTGGCTTTGGTAAAACACAATTTTTTTGGGAATAATTTCTATTAGAAGAGCATTATGACCTGAATCTGTTTTGGGAAGGTGAGTGACACTAGCCTTAGGAAAAAGAGAGATCCATTCCTCATTTGCAAAACTTTATCAAGCCTTTCCATGATAAGTCCCTTATTTTTTTTCCTATGGTTTGACCATGTATATTTGCTTCCCTTGAACCCTAAGTTTATAAGGTTGCAAGTATTAACATAGTCACCGATAATTTTTGACCGTTTATTATTGATATTATTACCACCTAATTTTTCATCCGCACTAAGAACATTATTAAAATCACCCCCCACAAGCCAAGGCCTTTTGAAAGAATTATGCAAGTCTATAAGGTTATTCCACATGTTATTTCTCAAATATTTATTAGTACTAGCATATATAGAACTAAATTACCAAGATTTGTGAGTTGAAATTACCTCAATCGTAGCATTAATTTCCTGATTCCTACGCACGAAGCTGTGGACGTTAACAACAGTGTGATCCCACAGAATGACCATCCCTCCCGATTGACCTTGGGCTGGGATTTCTATCATAACGGAGAAACCAAAAGGATTGAGAAGAGGGAGGTGGCTGTCTATTTTGGTTTCCAGAAGGGTTACCATACTAGGGTGGTGTGTATCAACCATCTCTCTGAAATTTAGCCTAAAATCATCATTTTGCCTCCACGGATGTTCCACATAATGAAAGTGGTAGCTCTATCCATGTTGTAAGTTTGGTTGTGGATGTCCCCATTCTGCATCACCCTTGGTACAATCATCGGATTCCTTACTTCATGGACCCGGTTATCCATCCATATGACTTTATCGCATCTAGGTAGGTCATACTATAATTACCGAGGCCTTCCACCAAACCCCAGGTTATTCTCGTTGCTTATCCTATATGCATAATATCTAAGTCCTTTAATGCTTCCTCATTACTGTTCATTTTAAGAACGATGGCCTAATCTCATCTTATACTTTGTGACCTTTGTCCATTCATTATTGATTCACCTCAATATTGATCTACAATTTACCACAGATAACTTGAAACTTCTTACTTAATCACTATGGCCCATGTTGCATCGAGGAACATCTGGAGTAATTTCCATAACCGTCTTTCATAGCATCCCAATGTAATTCACCTTACGTGGGTGTGTCAATCCTGTACAATTCATGAAATCTCCCTTTTTTCCAAATAATTACTCAATCAAAGTCCCAAACGTCATCCCTTATTTATCACAACTACATCCTCATTCTATTACCAGGGCATCATTCCATCTCTTCTAAATGCTACTAGTCTTAGACTCCTTTGAGTTCTTTCAGGCTATACTGAGCTTTCTATAACTTACAGAAACCATCAGCTCTTTTGTTTTCCTGGGCTTAATTTCGAGGACTTATCCATTTCTCCTCGCCTTCTTACTCGCCCTTTCTTGTCCTTACTCATGTCTTCCTAAAACCTGTCGCTTCACCATACCTTAGCTTGTAACCTATACAT